AACCTTTCCATTTTGATCTTGCAAAGAGTGATGAAAGCTTTTATGGGTACGACATCTTAGTCCCAAAAAGACAGATAATTTCCCCCTGGACGGAAGATCGGTGGGATGCAGCCTGCAATTTCCTCTTTGGTTTCCAGCGCTTCCAACTCTTGAAGATTAAAAATGGCGGCGTCCGTAAACGCCCGCACCTTGACAGCCGATACATCCCCACGTGCTAGCTCAAATATCATTCTAATGTGTGCCTGTACAATAAGACGTTAATTAGCTAATCATTTTTTGATAATATCTAATGCTGTATTGTAGTTAGACTGGCTCATTTCCAACGAACTGATGGTATCCAACGTCGCTCTGCTCGAACATGACCGCAAATGCAGACAGAAGTCAGCTCAGCGTCACTATCAATGATAGTTCTGTATAGGCTCGGCTGAACTTGGGTAGCTGCAACTGTGGGAAGACTGGGGTTCACTTGGATTCATTTGTTACGTGGAACAATGCGTGGGTTGAGAACGTTTGCCCAACTCACGCTGTAGAAGAATCCTCAATGATGATATCTACGAGTTTTCCAGGTATTTCACAGGACATGAACTGAAAATCCGCTTTCTCCAAACTGGTGTCTGCCACAGTAAAATTAGATTTCAGCTCAATAGTCCTCGCTGATCATATTCATCCATTTGGCGCAGCTTTTCACTAGGAAATTCGAGTTGCAGGAAATTGGATGCTGGCTGCGTTCGTACTAAAACTTTCACCAGATGGAGCAGCGCCAAATGTCACTGTATCACTTCTTTATCCATAGCACATGATCCACTCCTTCTACTATTTTTCCTCGTTTTCGACTGTACACTGTTGGCGCGGAATTCGATCGCATTTAAATATGATTATGCCACGAGCGAGCTCAGACAAGCTCAAAACGTTTGTACTTTCACTTTTGTGGCACTTTTTAAATGAAAAATGTGAGCAAGAGAGAGACTTCTATGCGGCCGGTCACGAGCTGTCTGAATCAAAGAGGAGGCGAAGTAAACTTACTTACCACGCTTAGAACTTTATGCAGACGGTCTCGACAGTGCGTTGCGCAGGCTGAAGCAGACGGCGAAAGAGAAGACGAAAATGAATATCGGCGCACTAGAACTGCCACGATCAACGACAGCGATTTTTGCTTCGCTACTTTTTCGACATATGTCACGTTAAACCTTCGAAATTGATTTAACTAAATGCTTTAAGAACTTTAACAAACGATAAATCACGTCGGGGTCACCAAAATGTGGGAATGTAGGAGCTTTTTCTGCAACTCTGATTCCACGTTTACTACGAATATTTTATCGGTTGTTAGATGTTTATGTTTGATAGTTCTATGATTAAAGGCCGTGGCCGTAAACTTTAAAATTTGGGTGTCAGACTGGAACAATTTTTAGTAATGCGAAACCGATGTTACGCTCTCGTGGAAAATTACGTTCTACACTGCGTTCGATGAAAACTTTTACTGACACAAGGAAGAACATATGTGTATGCGTCTTTGCATTGAGAGCGTATTTTACATGAGCACGACAATTGATAATACTAGACAACAACATTTAACTTTTTATTTACGCTTCGAACCAAACCAAACCAAAAAATTATTAATCGGCTGCACCTTAACCTTTATGCTTAGATTTGCTTAAAAGACGCATAATTAATGTATCTATTAAGAACTACTTTTAAAGTTAAAATTAAAAAAAGGACTTAAAAAAGTATTAATTCTGAACTGGAAAGCTTAGTATTTTATTCCGCGTTCGACGAAAACGAATCTACAATTTAACATTTCCTGTGCATATGTTCACAGCTTTTGCGCTTCATGCAGCACGTCTAGCTCCGCCGGTTGTCTGGGAATACCTATAACCCTTGCCTTGTCTTGAGCTCTTACCAGCAAAGGTAAGACCCCGAAGTTCGCGATGCTTGTGCACATGGTGGCATATCTAGTTGATTTTAGGTTCATGGCGAATCGCACTATGATGAGTGTCAATCAAAATTACCTCAAAGTACTTTTATGAAGCGTCTCGTACAATCCAATAAGAAACGCAATCCACCAAGTCTACGGCCGACACGTTCCCCCGCAATCGACTGCAATCCACAATAGGGTTTCAGTTGGTTAACGCCATGGCCCTCCACGGCAGACACGAATCCTGTTTGGCCCGGTATCTCAAACGACGTGCCTTATCAGGGCGCGTGGGTCTAGGCGAACGATGAAGTATTGTAAACTGGCGGTACGCATCAAGTAACACACGACATAACTTTGCTTCCGACATGGCTCAATCGACTCGGCTATGGATGCTGATCAAGGATACATATACTTAATGGGGTCGGAAACGTTTCCTTCTAGACGTTACACACATCCATTTTCACCACAAATCTAATATACCCTTATACTCATTTTGAGTATCGGATACACAAATATTAGCCCCAAATCTAACAGAAAAACTATGTTTGGTTTGAACCTGAAACATGCTGTTAAACAGTGAAATCGATCGATTTGCGTAAAAATCAATTTAAGCCATAAAACCTGTTTTTGTTTTAAATTGGATTTTTCTTTTGTGTGGTTTTAGAATATGCATCGCAGAGCACGTACATTTGATTGAGTACGTATGTATGTATGAGCCATTTCTATAATAATAACTATTATTACATTAAAGGTTTTTTTTACATTCTGCTAAATATAAGATATAATATAAGATTGTTCTTTCACTACTTCGCTATCGGTATCCTGTCGATATAATTTTCAACCCCTATAAGCTAAACAAAATAAATCGTGCAACAAGTGTTAATGCCGTCGATACCGATACCAACAGTTACTCAACAGTTCTCAATAGCGAACGAAGATTTTACTCTTATGGATAGACTTTTATTTTTATTAGTTAAAAAAGTATACACACATATTTACATATTTTTTTAGTGAATTTTTAGCAACCGGTTATTTGCTTAAAAAAATACGTCCTTAAATATTTAACTAAAAGTTTCACCTTTGCACCTTGCCTTCCAAATCTACTTCTAAATGTGACAATAAACAAATAAAAGGATAAAGGGGCATTATGCTTGTATGCTTATGGACAACGAGAGAAAATGTATCTTTTAAAATACTCTGAGAAATTTTACGTTGAACTTCTGCGCACAAGTCATTGCGCATTTTCTCTCGTAGTACATGTACCCATCGGCTTCGGCCTCGGTCTCTCCAGCGTGGAGTGTCGATAAAAAACGACGTTCACAGTCATCGTAAACTTTTAATTTTAAGGCGAGTGTAATTCGTCAAAATGTTGTGGCAGTATATACACATTTCTGAAAATCGTTATAACCAAAACCTATAGGGCATTTAAAACCTTTGAAGCAAATAAACTATAATTTAATTGAAACAAATTCAAATTATACCCGTACACATCAGTAATAATGAATCTAAAAAGCGTCTGCTTGTGTTGGACTCGTAATTAAAAATGTGAACATTGACGGAAGAATGACAAACCCGTTATCAGAAAAATTTGTTAATTATCCATAATATATCCTCCGTTTTGTGCGAAAGCTTAAGAATTTTGTATTTTGCAAGTGTAATATGTAGGAAATACATGCATGTATGTGTGTATGTATGTGTATTACTTAATATCCTCAAAAAGGTCATATATAAAATATAAAATTTCTAAATTGCGTTTCGGTTAATGACCGTCGTGTAAACTTTCTTTATAAAATCGTATGATATGATAAAATCAATATACATTTTTACGGGCGATAACCGTGTTTAAATCTTACATATAAAGCGTCATATGTCAGCAATACATGCGGGAGCAAGTAATAATATTAATCTCTGCCTGAGCTGAGCCTAAAAACCATACATAAATAAGTACAATTGAAACGATAGTATCTACCAATTTAATAGTACTTGCGTGACCAATTTAAGAAAATTAAATTATATTATCGACAATCGTACCAAAATAAAATGTAGTATCAAATAAAAATATGCGTCGTGTATTTCGTTTGAGTTTGCAACAGGCGGGAACCTGATTAGTTTTTGTACGGTCAGTGCGCCTGTCGATAACCAAGTGCAAGACAACAGCGAGATCTTTCTAGATACATTAAAGAGATGTAATGAGTTTATGTCATTACAAATAAACAATTAAATTAATTATTTCATGCGATTGAAAAAGTATGAGAATATGAAATGTTAAATACATTATTACATTACGAAGTATTAATAATAATAATAATTATTAAATAAAGACTCCATATAATAAATGTTGCTTTTCGGCTAATTTTTGTTATTTATTAAATGCAAATCTTAAAATATTTGAGCAAAAAGAAATATGGGTATATATCTTTGAAAAGCAATAAGTCATTCACTCAATTTTATAAAATGTGCTAAATTTTCAAATATTCAAATGTCACTGGAGGCACAAGCGCAATCCCAGCAGTTAATAAAGCTTATGAACGGTGACGGTGATACTACATTGACTAAAAAATTTAGAAAAATTGTAAATTCAGAATTAGAGTTTATAGTCCCACATCCTCCGCAAACAAATGTGGCAGAATTACTAAATCCGCAGTCGTACCAGCTCGGAAGCGATGTACACCCAAACCCAACGAATCAATACAACAGTTCTATGCGAATGCATATAATGCCAAATTGTGGAATATCAATTGAAGCTGAGTCATCTGATCTGGCGGAGTCAATCAATAAAATGAAGAATATACCAGAGGGAGTTTTGCACAATGATATTGAAAGCAAAATTAACAGGGTCTATGATGCGAATAATAAAATATATACAGATCTAAAAAACACCTCAATCGACACAGCTTCCGCCACCTCCTCAGTAGCAGCGATATCTAACTCGAATACCACTGATATTAATGAAGTTATGAAAAAAAGTTACTTAGACACTTTTCGAAACTCATATGCCGAATATGGTTCATTAACTTCAAACACTATTAAGAAGCCAAGTCTCAACATTCTGCAACATCTTTTTTGTATTCCAACAAGTACTTTGGATTCTGGAATGTCTTCTGCATCGGCTGTAGCGGAAGTTCTTTTACGGCAGCCGAACACCGTTACCCAAAATATGCAAAAAGTAGATGAGATAGCAAGCAATCAAGAGCTCGAGCAAGAGTTAAATCGCAATCGAGAACTTTTATCCTACGTATTTAATAATAGCATGCTGTCTCACCAGAAGTTCTCACAGCACCCATTGTTATCTCGACATTTTGCTGAATTTGTACAGCCTAAGTTAACTGAGCGGGAACCAGAATCAGAAAGTGTCCTCGAACGCAAAACACATATGATTGATTTTTCGGGGTCAAAGAAGCTAAGTATTCGGCAAGAGGATCTCCCTCCAACCCCATCTTCGCAGGATAATAACAATAACAATGAGATGCTGAATGACGTAGAAAGTGCATTAAGATTTGGAGAAGATCTTATTTTAGATTTTCCCCATCTTCAACAAATTCACAGCAATCGGGGGCAACAAATTGGGGAACCAGAAGATACTTTTAAATCAAACAGCACAGAACATTCCTCAAAGCGAGGTAAAACCCCAAAGGATCACCTGAAGTCAACCTGTAATTTATTTAAGGAGCACAAAATCCTGCTTGCTGATGTGAAAAGAAGCCTAGAACAACTTACATTACTTTCTGGTCAATTCCGGGATAACGTCAGTGTACGTCACCGTCAAGATGCCTCTAAAACCACCAATTCGTCTCTTGAAGCAACTGTACGTCGCCAATTAAATGGAAACTGCAAGAAAATTGAAGACATCTTGGACCAAATAAAGCGACTTCATCATCAATGGAATAGTGCAGAGCTCTATTATCTGCGCAGCTTGCAACGCTTAGGACTCAGTTCAGAGGATGGTGCTGGTTTTAGTTCTACGCCAACACATACTATAATGGCACTGGCTGCCATTGCGTTGTCCGTAGAATGTGAGCTTAAACCTAAAATATACGATACCCAAATTGACTCCAGCGACCTAAAGCAGCAAGTAAACACAAGTGAGTCTGAATTTGTATCAACTATAGAAAAACCCAAAACGCTACATGATATAGAGAATATAATCCTACAAAAAGCTTCAACCGTGCTTATACATCAAGGGAATCTGTCCAATAATACGCTCAATGGTTGCAGTGATAGTGATAATAGCGAAGGAGAAAAATCAATACCATCGCCCACGTGCATATGGCATCCGAAAAACCGAGACACTCGATTTAAGGAAGAAGACGAAAATTGTAGCACTGCTGCTGAAATAATTTTGGAGTACGCATCTAAAACAAATTCTTTACAAATTCCTGATCGTTTTACTAATACTAGTGCAAAGGTCCGGGCGAATATTTCAGATTCTATTGAAAGCTATCGTGCATTGAATATGAGTCCACTATTATCGTTTAAAAATAGCAGAGACAGTTTAGCTGTTTCAAATGTCAACGAATCTGGCTATTTTGCGGAGATCCAGTTTCCTGCAGCACCTTCTACGCCACCGACAAGCAGTAATAGTAGCTGCTCGACTGGAACTATTCATGTTACATGTCCGTTAAATAACAATCGAAGAAAATCTAGATACGCACGTCGCATCGAAACGCCGACAACGTCTTCTCAAAAAACAACTTTATTAAAGGGTGCAAGTATTCAGGAATATTCTCGCAGCCACCAAACAGGAAGTGTTTATAACGTAATAGATGCTACTTTACCCATACCATCATCAATTACAACCGCAATAACAGGAGCGACATCTACACCTTCTCCTCCAATTGTTCAAGCCGCATCTTCGGCTATTGCCACCGTAACCGCACTGCAAGAACGTGCCCTAACTAATATGTTCAAAGCTCGACTGAGCGCTTTGACGGCAGCTGCAGGTATCGACAACGGAGGTGGAGGCCTTGCCAGCGACAAATGTGAAGGTGAACCGGTACCAGATGCTCCGTATGATCTAAGCATTGGAACCAAGCTTAAAAACATGTAATTTGAAAATCTTTAAAGATAATATGCATATACATACACAATCTTTGAACATGAAACTTTATTATTATTTTTTAAAATTTAATCTGTCACGCTATACAAATATTTTTGACAATATAAAAAATATTTTTAACCAGTAAAAAGTTAGCTTCGGCGGCCCGAAGTTTATGTACCCAAACAATGCATCGCTCACTTGTAAGCATTCTTTTTGGTAAGCTCCGAGTAGTCTACTTACCAAGAATACCCATGGCCGGTACCGTATTCTGCCATCTAAATGACATAGTTATGTAGGTGTCCGATTTGGACATGGAAAAAACGATACTCAGTCAGTATAAATGTTATCTTCTGATTTATGTAACTTCTTCTATATTGGCATTTCCATGATGTCGAACGGGACAAGTGCTAGGAGGTAAAAATAAGACGGATTTTCAAAATGTACTGCATTGATGTTTTTTATAAATGGTTATAATTTAATGCAAATATGATTTATAGGTTTTTTTTAAATTAATTTAAACTTCTATCGCTCGGGACTAGGAAAAGTTTAAAAATATGCCGTTAACCGATATTAAGCATATAAAAATACCACAAAATACCGAAAAAGTGAACACTTGATTATTTTAAAAGGTTTTCAGATCAAAGTAAATCAATTTATATGTCACTTGATTAAGTTAATTAAATTTCAAAAGTATATGAAATTGGGTTTATATGATTTTTTAATAATTTCGTATCGGTGAAACTTTCCATGGGAATAGCTTCACAAATTCAAAACTATTTTTGAGACATTTCTAGTCTTCCAATTAGAACAAGTGAGATGACTTTTTGGATAGAATGGTAATTTTTATAAAACAGAAGAAATCCAGTTTGATTTTTATCCCTAGTCTTTATAGCCCATACTCAAAGAGTGTGTAAATATTAGATTTATGGTGAAAGTGGATGTGTGTAACACCCAGAAGGAAGCGTTTCCGACCCCATAAAGTATATATATTCTTGATCAGCATCAATAGCCGAGTCGATTGAGCCCTGTCCGTCTGTCCGTCCCCTTCAGCGCCTAGCGCTAAAAGACTATAAGAGCTAGAGCAACGATGTTTTGGATCCAGACTTCTGTGATATATCACTGCTACAAAAATATTTCAAAACTTCGCCCCGCCCACTTCCTCCCCCACAAAGGACGAAAATCTGGGGCATCCACATTTTTAAAGATACGATAAAACTAAAAACGCAGAATCGTAGAGGATGACTGTAGCCACTAGCCACAATCAAGAAAACAATTTCATTCTTTCTCGCTCTGTCTCTCTCTAACACACAGGTTTCATGGTCAGTTTTGCCAATTTTTAAATATGAGTTCAAGGATCTTAGAACCTATAAGAGCCAGAGCAACCAAATTTGGGATCCACACTCTTGTGATATCGGACCTTGACCGTTTCGTGTCCAAATTTTGCCCCGCCCACTTCTGCCCCCACAAAGGACGAAAATCTGGGTCATCCACAAATCTCAGAGACTATTAAGGCTAGAGTAACCAAATTTGGTACACACACTCCTTTAAGATGTCACTATAAAACGTACATCTCAGAATTTCGGCCTCCCCCTTCCGCCCACACAAAGGACGAAAATCTGTTGCATCCACAATATTGCAGATTCGAGAAAACTAAAAAAGCAGAATCATAGATATTGACCATATCTATCAGATTGCTGAATCTGGATCAGATCAGATCATTTTTATAGCCAAAAGGAACAAATCAATTTTCAGTGGCTACGCAGCGCCCGACGTCACGCTCAGACTGATTTTCTGTCTCTCTCGCACGCACTCTTTGTCGTTTCGTTTAATATTAGCGGCGTCTGCCGGAGGAGAGCCATACTGACTATGTATCGGGTATAAATGTAGAGTTGCGGTGTCCGCAGCAACTCACAACGTTCCCCCTCGTTTAAACTGAGCTTGTTGTTTTTTTAAGTAGCCAGAACATTTTCTGGGCCCTACCCACCAACTTGCTACTCACGCTAGGGATGTAACTGACCATTTGTGTGTGTGTGACACCAGAGCTAGAGCGCATTCTTAAATTGTGCGCATTTATCAGGGCTTATGCAGATGTTCCATCGGCAGGTCCAGTTTTCAAACAACTTGAGGTATTGTTGTAGATTGTCTGTGGCATCATAGACACAGCTAGCCCTCGAGATTACTGCTGTGTCGTTAGCAAATGTTGCCACCTTGAGGGTCTGTCCTGTTTGCCTTCGGACCGTAGAGGGATTTGGCATGTCGTGGGTGAATAAGCAAGCACGCTGCCTTGCGGTATTTCTACCTTGATGGTCTTGGTCAATGAAGCTGCCCCATCCTGGACTACGGAAGGTCCTCTCCGTCAGAAAGCTTTTGATAAACCGTCTTGTATGTGTATGTGTTTGGCATGGAAAGTACGCTAAATAGAATTGCTCTGTTTTTTTCAGGGCTAGTGCTTCTTTTTTCATATAACTTAAGTACGAGTATCTTACGCCTGGTTGTATTGAACTTTGCAATTCTGAAAAGGTGCTATAAATCCAGCTATAAATTTAGTTCGACTTTTCCCGAGTTTTCAAAGTTTTTAAATAATATACCACAAGAATTCCCCATTTTGAATTTGAAAGCCTAATACTTTCCAGACGATACGCTTTAGCTATTAAGTGTGTTTGGGTTGAATTTATAGTTGCATATATCAGCTTTCAGAATTGCAAGTCTACCGCGTAAAAAAAAGTTAAATTTTGTTGCCTAGTGTTATGCTAATGTGCTAGTATCGCCCGATAAACTTAAAAACCGATTTCCTTAAAGTTTTCATTCTTTAAAGCATTGGAAAATTATTATTACTATTCAAAGCATGCATTGACTTCTTTTAATTTTTGTCAAATGATTAGTGATAAGAGGCAGAGAGAGAGGGAAAGATGTAACGGATTGTACTGTAGGGGAAAAGCTAGAATATTTGTCATTAGGGGAACTGCAGGAATATAATTTATAAGATTTAATATAATATACATATAAGGTTAATCAAAATTTTAAGTTGATGGAGTGATTACCTCAAAGAACCGACCTTAATCTGATTGAAAAACCTGTGGTCAATCGTCAATTGTATGAGTGCTTTAGATAAATTTAATGTACGCATCTAATAGAGAATTTTCCAATCGAATTTTCCCACTGTGCCGCTCCAAAGCATCGGCGATCCGCGATCACCGCTTCGACGGTGCTGAGGCTCGAGAGTCCAGAATTGCTGAACAGACGAAACCGATGGGCAGCGGGGTCGCGGTAGAGACAAAGTACAGGCGAAAAGGGAATTGAAACCCCGCGCGCTCCCTCGTGCCTTTTGGGTTCTAATGTTAGGACCCGCCATAGAACAGCTTTTTGGTCGCTCATGCAACATCTTGGTATTGTATAGTCTTTGGTTGTATTTACTTATCGAAAATAATAAGACGGCGCACAGTGGGACATCAGTAGAAAAGAGGTCGAAAAAATTAATTTTCCTAGTAAGTAAATCACACCAAATTGTTTTGGTTAAAAAATTTGAATTTAAAAGTATTATATCGAAAAGAAAAAATACAAATTGAACATTTCACACATCGTAGTACCATATACTCCTGCACACTACATTTTGAAAGTTTTTGCTATCAAATGCAGTTTATTTGTGAAAAAGTTATTTATTTAACAAGTTGAAATGGTCGAATGGAGGTCCCACTGGGGGGCGTAGAAATATGTATGCTAATTATACTTTATTATAAGTAATTAATCATAGATGGCTTAAAAAAAATACGATTTTAAAAATTGCTGTACGTGTACTTATATGTAGGTGCTTAGAATTGTGAAATTTAATCATAGTCAACATTAATAAAACTCAACTTTTGTAGATTTTTGTTTTAAATATCATCGTTTGACTTTCAGAAACTTGGATTCAAAAAACTCATCGAATACCCAATCTATCGACTGTAAAGATAGCTCAAATGATAAAAAGAAACCACATATCAAGAAACCGTTGAATGCGTTTATGCTTTACATGAAGGAGATGAGAGCTAAAGTAGTCGCCGAATGTACGCTCAAAGAATCAGCCGCAATCAATCAAATTTTAGGGCGACGGGTAAGCCATTTAAAAACACCATTCCATCTTAAATATGCCGTATGTGTAAGCAGTTATAGTTTTCCAACGAATTGATCCCATTGACAATAGCCCAGGAATTATATATTTTTGAAATTTTTAATGGGATGTTTGACAGGCGATACACTGACGCGAAAAGAATTTTTTAACACAACGGAACGCACGGATCATCATGAATAATATGAAAATTTAACTTTAAATGTATATTACTTTTTATTTTTGCAAAAACCCATTCATGTTTTTGAAAATTCTTTCTAATGGATTCCTCATTCATAATGCATTTGTAGTGGCACGAACTTTCCCGCGAAGAACAAAGCAAATATTACGAAAAGGCTCGGCAAGAGCGTCAATTACATATGGAATTGTATCCGGGGTGGAGCGCACGAGATAACTACGGTTACGTGTCAAAAAAGAAAAAGCGTAAAAAAGACAGATCGACAACGGATTCGGGAGGTATTGCACAAAATTGTCAAATTGTTACATTCGTTTCCTTCTAACTGCATTCCACTTTTATGTTTTTCGATTTCATTAAATCACTTACACTCACACAAAACCTCAAGCACACATCTAACATCAACAACTAACCCACCCAAATTAGAAATAACAGTAACTTAAAAACTTACCTATATCTATGTAATTTGTGTAAATACTTAGATTATATTTAACGTTCGTAAAGTTCCGTAACTTACCAGTATGTAAAGAATGATCCAAAACAAAATCAACACTTGGCAAATGTAAAACTTTGCTTTCGTAGCTTTGAAGGTAATTTTAGACGAGCCTAGATCAAGTATAGTTAGTCACAATAAACCTGAACAATACAGAATTAAACTAGTTAATGGAATTTCACAGATAATGGAAGCTGAGTGCCATTTTTAGTAGAGATACAAATAAATCCTATAGTACGTTTTAACCTCGCAAAATCCAAATAATACATTATAGAAAACGCTAATTAACATTTTTCAAAAGAATCCTTTTTATGAGCATATATTTGAGACAATATTTGCTCTCAATTTAGTTGCGCCAAGTTTTTAATTAAGCAGTGCCCAATCGGCCTCAACATTAAATCTCTATTGGTCAAGCTATAGATGGTAATGTTTGTAACAATGACTACATTAGAAAAAATACTTTGTCTCTTGTCTTCTTATTAGATTTTATTGAATATTAAAATAAATATAAATATACATTTTAAAAACCACTTTATTTAAAAAGGGCAGGTTATTCTGATGAAGATTTAAATTAGCATAGAAACACATGTACAACACACAAACACCATAAGTTAAACAAATAAATTGGCAAAGTATTCAAAATTATGAGAAAAGAGAACAATAAAAACATTCCATTTTGTTTAAAGCTTTCATTTCTATTGATTCTTTAGTATGAGAATCATGCATATGAACTTAAAAACTGAGCGTCTCGTCCAGAATTGGCGAATGCATGCACCCGAAACCGTCTTAAAGATCGATCCGTCGAAGCTTTTAAATTTCTGGCGCTACGAATCGTTAAAAAAAAATATATATATATGGTATTGGGCATGTTCCCGCTCCGTAAATTAATGGGGCGTTATTCTTTACGTTAGGAAATCGCGAGCCACATATATACATATATATATATGTATATATATATATCTACATTTATGTACATTTATATATATATATATATCATAATTGAATTCAATGAAAATTTGTTTAGACATATTCCAGTTCAGATATACTCAGACACTCTAGTATATATGTATATGTATGTGCAGCATAATTAAATATGAAGTAAATTGAATAGCTGGTTTAAACATATTCCATAAAAAGTACTTATCCCGATACCTTGTGCATACAACTATTACATAATATTATTTTCGTAAAACAACGCTTTAATCCCACACCCAGTGGCATGCCTTGGGGCGTGAGGAGCAGGCGAAGTATTACGAGTTGGCGCGGCGTGAGCGTCAACTGCACATGCAAATGTATCCCGATTGGAGCTCTCGTACGAATGCCTCGCGCGGCAAGAAACGGAAGCGGAAGCAAGATGCCCACGACGGAGGTTAGACAAATTTTCTTAAACTATTGTACGATATATAAATCATATCAAAATCAGTTTAATCAAATCCAGATCAGATCAGATGTAAATCTTTAGTTTAATATGCGTTAAAAAATAAAAATTACTTTAGTAATTTCAGTATATGTACATGTAGATATTACTTGTACATATATTTATGCTAAAATTGTTTTTGTTAAGAGCCAGGTTTTGCAATTGGATTCTATTTTAAATAACTATTGAATTAAAATATGTTCAGGAAATGAAATTTAGTCTTGGCTGCTAGCAGTTGTACTATACACCAAAATTTAATACAAATCTGGTTCTAAATCGAAACCGGGTTTCATATTTCAACAGCAACTATATTTACCGGTACAAATCGAAGATCATTGTATCCTTTAACATATGAATACAACATACAACTTTTATTGTATCTAATCTTTTTTTGTTTTATACAATTATTAACTTATGCTATCATAATCATTTTTTGTGTATAATAGAGGTATACTTATACTTCGAGCATGTCTAAAACAGAAATGGATTTTTTGTTTTCATATCATAAGTTTTATTTATTGTTATTTCAAGTACTGTAGGTATTCATGCATGTAATACTATTGTTATGTATTTATAAATCCTTACAAGTGGCTAAATATTCTTAATCTATTGTATGTTTTATACCAGTAAGTGTTTTATAGATCTATTTTAGAACGGCAAAACAATTCTCAAAAAAATCTCACTGTCAACCGCGTGCTTTCATTATCTTTACTTTTTATATTTGAAACTTTAGATCATCTTCTTTTACAATTCATAAAACCTAAAAACTAATAAATAGCTCACTAACAAATCATCTATTTCTATAAAATAAACAAAATTCTTTTGTTAAAGTCAATCTAAAAATATTTCATGGTTTCCTTAGGTAATAACATGAAAAAGTGCCGTGCTAGATTTGGACTGGACCAGCAAAATCAATGGTGCAAGCCATGCAGGTATGATTAATGTTACTTATATTTTCTGAATATAGAAAGTATATATAAAAGACATTCCAAGATTCACGCAAGATTTTTTATTTTAAATTCGACTTATTTCGCTTTCTTCGATTTTTTTCGATTTATCCAAAAAAATATAATGATATACGAGTATGTAGTATTATTTCCATCGTGTAATGCGTGAGGATATTGGCTATTGCCTGCCCAAGTAAGGATATTAATTGGTGCACTTTCTTCGGAATATTTTGGGGAATTTTCTGTTTTTACAAATGTAATATTTGTATAATTTAAATGGAACTTCTCAGTAAGGTTCTACACCCATGCGCTTATTTAGGAATTTAATATTGGTTTTTTGTTCTCGAAGTAGAAATTCTTGACACAACGTACCGATTTAAGATAAGTGACCTAGAGCACTCCAAGAAAATCGTACTTCACGAAGTACGATTACATGTGTTGGATTTGATCTAAATAAATACACTAAAAACAATTCGACATACATAAAAAGACTTACAGACATATTATGCACACATCCATGTACAAATATTTACAATCTGATTTCACATCAAAGGACACATCAACTATAGAGGAATCAGGCCTGTCAATATCATTGTTACGAAAAACAACTGAGTTTCAGGCAGGCTTCGGCTATCACCTTCGCACTTTCGCACTACCAGAGCAATTTAGCTAGTACCTTCTTTATAAATATTTTTTTTAACCCAACATCAAATTTTGCTTTAAAACAATTGCTTAATTCAACAAGAGTTGACGCAGTCTGTTTTTTTTTTATCGATACGTCGGATTCTAAACATAACAGAAGCTTTGTGCATTTAACAGGACATTAGAAAATGTGAAAAAAATTTGGGAAAAAGAAAAACGGAACGTTATAGTTAAAAACGTAAAAATATCGGAGTTTTCGCCACGGTATAAAAAAAACTGCATTTATCAGCTTTTCAGAATTGCAATACAACCAGATGTAAGATTCTTAAGTTATGTTAAAAAAAGGAAGAAAAACATAACAAAAAAAGTTTTTTTAACTTTAAAGAAAAACCACACCATGAAACAAAACCATAACTCTTTAAAAATTGTTAAAGTTGCAAGACTATCATAAAAAGTCGAAGCGTAAGTATGGTGTTGCATAATGATTACGGTCTCTGGTAAAAACGGAAGGTTTAGACAGTAAAAATTAGCTGTTGTTGACTATGAAAACTCGATGGGTAAACGGTTAAGGTGCAGTCGTTTGATCAAACCTCTGAATGCCGCAAAGACAAAAATCAGAATCTTTTTTGTATCAATGTATTTAAAAATGTCAGCATTCAAATGAGTATATCAACAATAAATTACAAAACAACCAAAAATTGTATGACAAATTTTAATCTTGCGTGAGTTTTGTTGGACTATTCTAAATTTAATAGATAATTTATAATAATTTATCTATTATAATTCTACACATATTGAATTAATAGGATGGCATATGTACAAGAAAACATATAAAAGAAATGCACATTCGATTATATGATAAATTTAGTGTCCCTATAAACTTCCATAATCATGAAATAAATAGGTACACAAAACTATAACACCTGTCACTATTATTATCAATTACAAAAACTCTCCACGATCTTTTGATCAATTGTAATTGCATGGAACGCGCCCTTCAAACTTACACCACTACCCTTGTCTGCACCTCGTTTAAGACCTTGAGTTTATCTTTCATTTATGTATAATTTTTTTTAAATAATATTATGTAAGGATGTGCCAATTAAGATCAATCTTTTTATATTCGTTGATGCTGGGGAAGTCTAAAAATATATTCTTTTTATTTTGTTTCATTAATATCAGTTATGATTACTGCATTCATCGCAGATTATATAAAAGGCATATCAATATCTTAGCTTAATTTTCCGTAAAGGCTCAACTTTTATGCTCAATCATTTTTTAACGACTAAAACTCTTTAAAAATTGCTTTATCGGCTTCTTTATGTTTTGTTTGACGTTTTTGTTGTTTCATTCTAAAAATACACAACACATACACACTGATAAAACGAAATATAATAGATGATAAAATGATTTTGATGTTTTTGATTACCCCTTTTCTCTTCTTAATGCTGACGGTTATTCATATCAATTTTGGACATTTAATTGACCTCGACTTTACCGATTATTAAGTCCCAGTTTGGGTGTCATTTCAACTGTAAGCAACAGTGGCGGCAGCGTTGGCATCGGCAGTGGTGCAGCAGTCAGCAGCATAAGTGTTGGTATGCTGGCACCTATTGTAAGTGGCATAGGGGGTACTGTAATGCTGCCCAATTCGTCATCTTCGTCCTCCTCATCATCATCCACCTCGTCTTCTCATACACATGCACAAATGATGGCTAACAGTAATGGAAATGGAATAGCACCTTTAAATGGTATAACAGCCAGCGCCGGAAGTGGGGGTGGTGCAGCTAGCGCTGGTTCGCAGCAGCTGTCCCCGCAGGCACCACCAACATATGTAAATTTGTAGAAGTGCACACTTGAATGCTGAGACGAATCGAAAACATCAGTCAATCCAGGATAAAACTTACCTTTACAGCAGATGAGCCAGCATTCAATCACATCTGCGCAGATACCAGTAATTAAAAAAAAAACAGAAAATATTTTAAACAAATGTATATCAGGGTTTGCAAATTAGTTAGTGTTTATAGTAAATGTTACCATTAGGGAGTGGTTCGCATATTTGTAAGTGCATAATAAATTTTCGTAAATACTTACTAAAATGCATGTCATTAAGAAAGCTTTTTTATTTTATTGAATGAATGTATATATTTGTATTCTCGAAAGGATACATTTTTTATGCCAGTCGTTTCGAATCTTAAACAAAAATCTGAAAATAATTAATTATATTTTTAGATAATAATATAAAAATCGATTGAAATTTGATAGCTATGCCTTATAGTAAAACCAATCAGTCGAGCCGATTTAATGTTAAAAATTATGTCATATAGTTGACCAAATCAGTGGAGCCATTCCTCTTACTTAATTGCTAACATTATATGTATGTATTTACATGTTCCTAAACTACATTACTTTGGTATATTTTAATTGATTTCATATTTGATATTCGTGTATTTATAACATGTGTTGATATGTCATATGATATGCATTTGTCAAACCCTGATATGCGTTTTGTTTTAGGTATATATTGTTGTTCGTTCGATTCGATGTTTAAAATATGCCTATAATATAATAATGTATGTTGTTTAACTTATTTATGTGTTGAGTTTTTCTATGTTTATTACCGATATTTGATGTTGATGTATTTATTCTGTTTCAATGAAGTTTTCAAGTTAAATGTGTTTATTGTTTCTTTCGGTTTGTTCTGTACAACATGAAAATGCTATTTCTACCAATAATCTTATTAAAATAACGTTATATCTCGATAAAAGGAGAACATAAATATCGAAATGATAAAACTTTTAATTATTTATATTTTTGTGTGCACCACGTTAATTTCTACACAGTAGCTTTTGTTGCCTAAGTTTGCGTACTATGAGATTGTTGTAAATATGCCGGCAGTCCGCAGTCTCCGTCCATCCATCTGCCGACAAGTATGAATTTTGCTGTTTATATGGTTTTTTTAATATAAACAGCTTTTGAACAAATGACAATGTGACAATTCGAATTTAACGCGCGACTTATTTAATTTAAAAATGGTAAATTTTCCCTTCGTCTCATCATCGCTAACATAAAAGATACAATACATGGGAATGGTTTACTTTTACTTATATGGTTCCGATTAGAGTGCATGTGAAATGGTGCTGATAGGTTTCAAAGTTAAGACATATATGTATATATATAAATTATTTTCTTGCAAATGTCTGTTTTCTATCTGCAATTTTTCCTGTGCTTTTAAAGCTATTAAGTTCTTTCTGCAAATCTGTGTTACCCACTATTTAAAATATGTGGAACTCCTCTTTTGTTTGAAAGTTGTTGCACAATTGCCAGTTCTATGTAACAATTTTAATATGTTCCAGCCAGGATTCAGTAATCGCAGAACGCAAAATTGCGTGCTTTAGTTTAATAGTAAGGCTCTTACTATTTTGTTGTTTTCTTTTTTTTATAATTAAAAGTTGATATGCAATGACTGCATCATCAATTTTCCTATGCGACACCAAGACGAATCCTGTTTCGCGGGGATCCCAGGTCTAAGGTCCTTTTATATTTGATTAAGGTGATAATTCGATACACACATATGCTATAAATAATTATTCGAAGAAATTAATTGAAATAAGTTTTTGACTTTTTGAAGAAAACTTTCTTTCTGCCATAAATAGGCAGCAATATGGTTTGAACATTTAAAATGCTTATTTTACTTCAATGTTGTTATGTATCTATGTTAACCAGCGATTCAACTATTTCTTCGTGCATTGAAATTGGAAATCAAATGTAAAATTGTAAGAAAGATTGCAACACCCTCCTTAATTTAAAATGTATTCACTAATTGCCATTTCCGTTCTGATCAATATTGAATATTTTATTTATGGTCGGCATCGCCGAGTATTTTTTTATTTTAAGCTTTTTTTGCATGTATTTGATAACAGGTTTTATAGCTTTTTTAGTAAAAACATACTCCGAATAAATAACGCGTTTTGCCATTTGTTTGTATTATAGGAGCAATAATAAATTGGGAAGAAATGTATATATGTATATATATGTATACATATATACTGATTTATGTTAAAAGTGTAGTCTAACTTCGCCATTTTTAATATATAACATTTTTCGTCTTATTTGCAACCTATTTTGTAGAGACGCGATGTGCACGCTGTGCTATTGAGATCATCATTTAAGATTAAACTTTCAGTTCTAGGGTTCCGTTGCTGCATGAATCCTAAAAGTGTTACGTACATTTTGTTTGGAATGATTTTTAATGTGCACCTTAAATATTACCAAAATTTTAAATATGTAACTTATGTTATTTAAATTTTTATTTTTTTTTCATGTAGACGCAAAAAAAAATGCATACGCTACATGGAGGCTATGAATGGAACAGGCGCGATCGAAGATGGAAGTGGAATTGATGATCTTGGAAGCCAGCTAAGTGATGACGACGATGATGATGATGATGATGATCAGTTAGTCGGTAGCTGCGGCAGCGGTGATGAAAGTAATAAAATTCCAGATGATGATACAGAGTCTCTGAATCAGTCAATATCCAGCCCTGGCTGCCTAAGCGGGTTGTCTAGCTTACAAAGCCCGTCTACAACAACAAGCTTGGCGAGCCCACTTAATATGAATATTAATCCAGCAACACCGTCTCTGTTAGCTGTCAGCACTAATGCGCTTATGGTCCCCAATGCAGAACAGGGATCCAGTCAACCAAGATCGGAATCTATTTCCGCATCAGGATCGAGTAGTGGGTCAACTTGTAGTATAAGCACTACGCCGAATACCTCAAATACTGTCTCGCCTGTAACAGGAACGACGGGTCCATCTTCAAGTTTAGCCCATGAGCGCGCTATGATGCTTGGAAATCGTTTCAGTCACCTAGGTATGGGCCTTAGTCATCCAATAGGTAGTTCTGTTAGCAACAAACCTGATGCATTATTCCAGCCACATCCTTCAGTCAGTAAAAATAAGAGTTCAGCAAATGGCTTTAATGGTTTTAGCGGTTCTGGTGTACCGCCTAAGGCGCCGGCGCCGGTAAACGTACCACGAAACCCCATTGGTGCCAATCCACGAGATATAAATAATCCATTGAGCATCAATCAGTTAACTAAGCGGCGTGAAGATCTAAATGTTTGCTCCATTGCAGTCTCTGATTCTAAGGAAAAAAGTGCTTTGGGGCCTACGTCCATTATTCACCATGCTGCTCCCCACGGCTATCACCCACACCACTCGCTTTTTAATAGCAGCTTCAGCCAACATTTTCACCAACAGTTGACCCACCATTTAGCGGCAGCTAGCAATAGCGAGTCAACAATATTGTCTGGAGATACCCATTCCATAAACAACGGCAAGCATACTTCCTCAGATCCGCCAACGAACGCAAACAATCCCTCTTCAAGTGCTGGTTCTTCCGAAACTGGAGCCATTAGCGTATCATAGCAAACTGCTAGTCTATTAAAATACCTATCGCCGGCTTTCTCTCAATTTTCTCAATATTCAGTGTTGTGTGAGAAGCAGCTTAAATTAATGAACGTGCAATAAATAGTATTATCGCCATCCCATTCGCCATCTTTAGAAACATGTGGCCATTAATAGACAAGTGCCAAAATTTAAATTATTTATATATACATATGAATATGTATATTTGAATTTTTGTAATAATTGAAACTAAAATCTGGATATCTTGGCATTTTCTATAAATAAAAGAAGAGGCCAAACAGAAATATTTCTCTGGAGACAACACAAATGGATCAAAGCTCATGCTAGGGAACGCCAAATAAATTAAGTAAGCGTGTTTACGTATGTAGGTATGTATGTTTGTACTTATGGTATATGTGTACATACTTACTTATCTTAAGCTACTTACTTCTGTTACACTTACCTATCCGCAGAAAGTTTAATTCAACTATAATATACATGCGTATACATATGTACATATGTATATATTTATACGTACTTTTTAATATTTATGTTGTACTATATAATTTTTTTACCGTGGCGTATAAATCTGAATGTTCGTTTAATTACTTTTCTGAGTGTTGTCAAACTCAACATTTGGTTTATTATATTATTGATTTCAACTACAAGAAGTTTTTAGAAAATCTTTTCCATCACTCAATCAAAGACAAGACAAGTTTGAAATAATTTTTCGATGTACACCTACATATGTGTGGATTTACATAAACGTTTATGCAAATGTCATCCCCATTTGTATGTTTTGTACACAGCCAAACTTTTCAAATTTATTATCGGACACGGATACATCTGGTTTTTTGCAATTATAACACAGTTTTCCCGATTTATAATTTGGTTTGTGTACATAAATATGTGGGCATATGTGCATAAATAATTTTAAAAGATACGTATGTATAAATTTACGTACAAATGCTAAATACAAATTTGAGTTTGACAAAACACAGAATTAATACGACTTGTGTTGATACGTCATTGGTAATTGGTAGTATGTATAGGTATGCAAAAACATTGCAAATTTGCCTAGTATACACCGGGGGTTTTTGTTGCTAAACACCGCAATTCTTATTTATATGTTTGTATCTCAAATTTTTAAAGGATGAGTAAAAACAACAAGTTTGTAAATAGGTAACTTGCTTACATAAAAATACTGACAATGTTTACGAATTTATTGACCATAAGACCTGATAGCAACTATTCCATAAAGAGTAAATGCCGGCGAAATAAATACTATTTACCTGTATATATACATGTATTTATAACTGCATATTGGAAAGTTATTAAAAATACATACGAGTATATTTATACTAGTCTTCATTCAGTTCAAACTACTATCTTCCAATTATATGCATTCATACATATGTACGTACGTAATTTTATATAAGGTACGTAAATACGGGCTCGTAATTTATACATCTAAGTGCATACACTTGCATACATAGATATATTGGAAATAGTGCTTAGCACATGAATAACATGAATATATAATTATGTGATTAATGAATTAATATTTTATACTATGTGCCAATAATAAACGTATGCGATTAGGTATTAATTGTGTTGGCTCAGTTCATCATTTGTGTCGATAACTTAATGGAATTTGCTGTAAAAGTTACGAGCCCTGATAAATACAAACCTACATATGTGTGTATAAATATTTGTATGTACTTAATAGTCAAATATCCATGTAGAGATGTATTATATCTATTTAATATTTAGTATTTGGAAATTCATTTTTATATACACTCGTGTAGCTATAAGATATGTTTAGTCCTAATCGACAGTTGCATATGGATATTAACAAACACACACATACCTACATATTTATGTATGTATGTAAGAGTATTCATACTAGAGCCTTGCATAAATCAAGAGTAAACGCCATTGAAACTTTACCATTGACAGGTGTCATAGTACCAAACAAATGATCAAAAAATTATGTGTCTATGTTAAATGACTCTTAAAATACAGGTGGTATGAAAAAAGAGTTTTTTGAGTTTTCTAAACGAAAACTAGTTATTAAACAAGTCTTATTTATGTATTATAACACTCCAATATACTCCTTTCAACCTTTTCTTGAAAATGTATTCTGTTTAAATTAACCATATTAGAGTATTCTACAAAAGTTTTATTACAAGATCATGGATTCCGCAGATATAAAAAATTTGTTATAGATTTTTGTCGGCCACTGTATGTAAACAATAATCCTCAATATTTCATTTGGTGATCTCTAATGGGCTTACATTAGTAAGAGGACAGCAAATTTCATGAGTATAAATACATACAGAGCTGTGATAAAACAAAATGAAGATTTAAGCATGTAGGGCTCTAAGATACTATAGAACATATGTAGATATGTGTGTGGATACGCAGTTTTAAATATTATAAAGGTAATACAAATCCAAATATACATGCAGAAATTGGTTAAGGTCTAGCATCTGTATAAGCATAGTGTGAAGGTACATTTATATAGAAATGTGCCGATAATACGATATATGTACATACATATGAATGGATATATACATATAAATATATACATATATATTTGATAAGGTATTATTTATCTAATCAAAAAAATGTGTATAGCCATTGCCAATTAAAAAAGACTGTTTAACACATATTATATATGTTCGACTATGCATACATTCTTGTGTATGCGAGTAAGAGAAAATGGAAAATATCGATTTGAAACGAACTATGTTAGTCCTTAATTTATAAATGATCAAATGTAAATTAAGTTATGTAACAAAAGCAGAAGATTCAGTTTTTGTTTGAGTGTTTAGATACAATCGTGGATATTACATTTTTAATGTCTTTCATTTTGGCATGATACAGATATTTTGTTAGTTTTAATAGTAATTATAATCAAAATAGTTTCTATCCAATGCTTCCAATATTCTGTGTTTTGCTTTGAGTTGCTTTTTGTACAACTGTAACCACATTGAAACGATATTGCAATATTTAATGTTTTATTTATTGAATATAATTTAAAAAAATGATCGTTACTATATATATTTCCGTTAGTTTAAATTTACGCGTTAAATATCGTTTTTATTCGAGTCAGTACTGTTAAGAATATACTTATAGTGATACATTACCATATCTAGTTGTAAAATCAATCTTTGTTTTTTATAAAAATTTAAAAACAACAATAAACAATCACAAATATATGATTCGTGGGCGTTACATTTTTACTCAACAAGCATTTACAAAATTGGAAACAACATCTAATTTAAAATTTATTCTGATGTTCTTTAGACATTGTATTGTATTGTATTGCATATTTGGTATATGTATGTGTGCACTTAGAGTTATATTGATATTTTTTCTTAAATTTATTAATGATTTAATTATCGTATTCCCTGTGCATTTCACTGCTTTTATAATGAATTATTTAATGAGTGCATTTTTTTAAAAGTTAATTACTTAAAACAAAAAATGTAATTTTCAAAATAGCGTGGAAAAATGTTTTTCTTCAATTTAATTTAATATTCTTCAAATCGGAAACTCTGCTGAGGTTTGACGTTTCCGCAAATTTCTATTCATTGATTGGTTAATAAAATGGTTTGATATCATTGCTGGGGTCTAGATAGTGGTACGGGTAAAAATCGATACATACAAAAAATGTTATAAATATTCCTAAGTTAAAAATATTTAACGTATATATATAAGAAATGTATGTCTAAGTATATATACTTAAAATTAGTGATTAAATGTATGTATGCGAATTAGATTAAAAAGTACACCTTAATAAAAGAAAGCAATGTTGAACAGAAAACCGTCTTAAATTTCGTATCGATAATTTCATTTAATCCCAATAAAGCACTTTAGCAACCATTTGTTGTATAAATTTGAATACACTTGAAAAAATCAGAATCGTACATAATTATCATAACTAGTAGATTGCTCAACCGCCAGGAGTTTTTTAATTTAATGTTACCATATTTAAGAGCGTGCAGTTCTGGATATCTGTCAATACTCCAAAAGTCCTAGTGCAGTGGCTTTTATTGAAACACATTACGAATTCCCTCTGCTTGCACGTTGCTATTAATTTTAAGCTTTTGGCAAGAATGTAACGCTGGTAACTTTTTGAGTAAGCCCACGAATGCAGCCCGGTACAAAGTTACGGGAAAAATTAAAGAGTACTAAACTCCACTACGTAATATATCAAGTTTCATTCGTGTTATGGATCTATGTACTCTTTATAAAAAACCGAAGTCTGCTGTGAACTTATTTTCCAGTGCTCGGCGAGAACGGTGATCGCCAATTGGTGGCGCACAAATATATTGTTGGACGTTGATATGCAATGATTGCATCTTACAAGTGACGATGTAATGACACCATCAAGTGGCCCGTGTAACATCAGCAGAAGACTGGTGTCTGGCAAAACGTAGTCCTCCTCCCGCCCAATCGACCGAGGGGCCGCATGTCGCCACAAAGTACTAACGCTTTACATTAGATCTAGAAATGGGAGCTCCAGTGATCCTTTTTATCTCGGAGTGAACTTCATCCTCCGCCTCCAATTCTCCTCGGAGTGTACTTCTTCATTCGCCTCTAGTTCCTCTCGGAGTGTACGTCGTCCTCCGACTCAAAATCCCTCTCGGAGCGTACTTTATCTACCGCCTTTCGGAACACACTTAAATCACATCAATCATACGATCACATCTTAAACTCTGTACAATTAAGACCAATAAGCCAAAACTTGAACCACGAGACTCTCTATTAGCTACCACATTCAGAGATCAGAAAAATTTCTGTGAACCCTGGCGCGGCGAGTATGCCCCAGCCGTAGCGCCGTCACAGGCCACTGTGGCCTTCTTTACAACTTCATCTATGCTCAGTTTCCAATCGATCTTTCTGTCGAGGATCAGGCGGAGATACGTGGCATTGTAGCTAAAGGATAGTGCTTCCTCACAGAGTTTTGGGAGAGTCAGGCTACCAGTGTGTACTCTTTGTAGATACTTTGATAGTGTGTAGAGCCGTATCCGTGGATCTTCCCTTCCGAAAGGCATTTTCAGAGACTGAGATAAGACTGGGCGAAATACTTTCCATTATATGCAGCCCCAAAGGATGTTCAATCGTCATCATAAGAATGACGAGAGACTAATGGGTTTGAAATCCTTGGGGCAGTGTGCGAGGAATGATCCCTCGTAGATAATTTTCGCTGACAGCTGACGGCTGACGGTAATGACATTTTGTCCAGCGTGAATCAGTTGGGCAGGGATGATGCTATCTGTTACCGCAGAATTGTAGGAAATTATCTAATCTGTCTTAACAGGTTCGCGATGATGTTAGGTCCGTTTTCAGCGCAGCCAAAGAAGTGGATGCTGAAGAGAATATTTAGTGATTCATTGCTGGACGTTGTCCAAGACTGATCGGCTTTCTTCAGGTTGCCTAGGGTCGCTTTTGTCTTCGAGAGAACTCGGGAGATACTCTCGATTTC